TTTTTTCTAATACAGTCTAAGAGGAGAAAAAAAAATTTGCATAAAGAACCATGCTGCCAACAGAAAATATTTTTTTTCCTTTTTTCCCTGTGTGGTCAATAGAATAAAAGAACAATGCAATGCTTTAGATTATAGCAACGAGGAAGAGAAAAAAAAAATCTTACTTACAATTTTTCACTAGTAAGTATTTTCAAGTTGTTGGTTTTAAATGGAGTGAGTTAATATTTCTTTTATACTTTTCCCTTTTTCCTAAATATATCTGAAGTCCGCATCTGTGCCTTTTTCCGTATTTACGTTGCCTGTTATTTGGTTGGTGTTAGTCTTTTTTTTTTATCAGTTGTATATTAACATACAACTGTTGTACGTGTAGCTTTCTTTTGTGAAAATTTCTCTTTGGTTCGCCAAACTTGAGGTTAACACACTGGGATCTTTCGATGTCTTTGGAGTTATCGCGTGACCTTTTTTTTTTGTGGAATTTTTTTCTTTTAGGTAGAGGTTTCTCTTTGTGGTTTGAATATTCTTTGTCACCAGTTGTCATGGTGTAGAACCACAAAAAGATAACATGGACTTGGATATAAGGTTATATAGTATATTCTCTGAAACGTAGTACAAAGGTAAATGTGGACTGGAGAGTACTTTCTCTCACTGGTGTCCCGAGTCACTCATTCACTCACTCTATGGTTACTACTCAGTGACCCTCACTTGGTGACTCCCTTTACTCAGAGTTGGTAGCCATATTATATAGGTGTGGAAGAGTCCATTTGCAGGTAGGTCCCCACAATACATACACTAGTTATAAACAAGATGAAGCAAAACTAGTAATGAAATGATAATAGTGAAAAAGCTTTCTTTAAAAGGCAACAATAATAAGATGGGAAAAAATCTGCCTCATCAGTCATGTATCGAAAAATACATGATTGCCTAAGCATGTATCACACATGGCACATAACTGACTGAATAAGATGGAGCAAAACTAGTAATGAAATGATAATAGTGAAAAAGCTTTCTCTAAATGGCAACAATAATAAGATGGAGTAAAACTAGCAATAGAATAGTTATAGTAAAAAAACTTTATCTAAAAGGCAACAATAAGATGGAACAAAGTGAATATGGTAATGGTAATATTAACTGTCTCCTTATAAGGAGACATTTGACATTCATTCATCAAGCAGCCAGAAGAGCTGTTCATTGAAATTTATCAAATCTTTCTCTTAAAACAATTTTTCCGGTAAATAGTAACTGATATTGATTCATCAAAAAGCAACAATAAGATGAAGTAAAATTAAGTTGAAATTTTTGAGATTAAGAATTATACACCTTTCTATTTGAACCAGATTTCTCACCTTTGTCATTATGCCCACACCTGTGTAAGTCTCTTTACTCCTGTCATGGAATACTTTTTGAGCATTCTTTCTTTCAGCCTCTTAAATGGTATATTTAATATAGTACGTCTATTTAGGAGATTATCAATGAGGTCATTCTTGGTCATTTTATCCTCTGGTGTTTCTTTTTTACTATCTTGAATTAATTTTACAAGGGTTACTTTTCCTTTCATATCACACCAGCCATGCCTGATTTCAACATCCATCTTCTGATATTTAGTCATGTTTTCTTCATAGAGTAGAATACAGACATTAAGACTTAAGGCCCCAGAATTATGACATGAGACTGTCAAAGAGACACACAGTCTACCAGAGGACTTCTTAACTGTATCCGGTAAATTGCTCAAAATCAATTGCTCGACAGTAAATTGCTCAAAAAATAAATTCTCGAACTATCAATTGCTCGAAAGGCAGATTGCTTGAAACCTGTGGTTAAAAAAAAAAACTACATTGTTTCTAATATTTACTATAAGATAAAATAATACAACTTTATTGTTGTTAACTGAACAATTAAAATTGAAGAACAAGTACATTTATAGAGCAGGTCTTAGTTTTTTTACTACATTGCTTTTTTGTCATAGTTTAAAATAAAGGGTACATTTTTATTATTACTGTTATTCTTTGTGATTTAAAAAAAATATAACTATTGTTGCTAATATTTACTCTATTAGTATTAAATATTATATGCAACACTTCTTAAATATTTTTCAACATTGTTGTGTCATAGTTTGATACAAATTTTCTTTAATAGAAAACAAATATAGAAAAAAAATCAGGAAAATAGTCAGTAGTATTGTAGGTTAATTCAATACCAATGCTTTGAAATTACTTTGAGCAATCTGCCTTTCAAGCAATTGATAGTTCGAAAAATTATTTTTCGAGCAATTGGTTTCAAGCAATTTACTGTCAAGCAATTGATTTTGAGCAATAGCAATTTACCTAGATCCCTTCTTAACATGGGGTCCATGGCCCTAGGGTTTCAGGAGGTCCAAGAAGATGAGATAAACATTAATTATTTATATTTGCTATAGAGTCCTTGTCCCAATCAATTTGAAAGAAATAAAAGAAAATGCATCCTGCCATTGTTTGAAAGAAAAATGAACCTAGACATTACTGACATTGCCGACCACTATATGTCTCTTGACTTGCTGTTGGGTCCATGATTACCATTTAAACATGAGTCAGCATTCTCTGCATGACCACCATCATCTTTTTCCATTACATAAGAGCAAGTGATAATTCTCATTTTTCACGATTTATCACGGCTTTATTATCTTCTCAATATACTAGTGAGGATTACTCAACCACGATTTCTTTCAAGTGTGGCTGGCTAAAAAGTGCATGAGGGTGCAGTATGGAGAAATGCATGTACAAATGTTGTGAAAAACAAACCAGACTATGAGTATCTGCTTGTCTATCTGTCTATGAAGGGCTTGTTCTTATGGGGGTCCATGACTAAAGGGGTTCTTGACTCAAAAAAGGTTAAAAACCACTGTGTTATTGGAAATATCTAACTTCTTCAACAATATTTTTTCTTTGTAAATGCCAGGTCAGACCAAAAAGTCAATTATTACTGCTATATTTTTCCAGAGATGTTCATTCCTCTCTTTCCAGCTTTGATAGAGTTCAAAATTGTTTATACAGTCTTATAGAGAGGGATTTATTTTCCACTCTACAGCCTCTTTCCTCACACTTGCAATGTTGCAATACTATCACTATTTCCATGTCAAATACTCAAATGATCTCCATTCTTTAGTTGCAGTTTAGGCCCTTAAAACTAAGATCTCCCATATTCCTTCCACAGGGATGAATCTCACTCATTTCACCAGGGTTCTCAGTGTAAGAAAAAATTTCTTCTTGGGCAGTTTTTTTCCCTCCCAAGAACTGTTATTTTGTGGAACAGACTTCTGCATAGGTATTTTCCTGGACACTTCAATATCCACCTCTTCCAGTTAAGGATAAATTGTTATCTATCCTTTTATCCTTGTAATCTTCACTTCCTACCACCTTCTTTTTCATTCATATAACCCACCTCATCAATTATTAACATTTTAACAGTAATCCTATACATTGAGTGACACAAGAGTTTTACATTAATGAACATTGAGCATTCTCGCTCAGGTCATTCCCTTACTTTTTTTGTTTTCTTGGCCAACATCTTTTGCCACTCCATAAAAACAAGTGATAATTTTCATTTTCCATGGTTTATCACAGCTTGATTATCTTCTCATATATTGGTGAGGATTAATTGACCACAGTTTCTTTTAAGCATGATTGGTTGAAAAGTTATAAGGGTGCAGTATGGAGAAATGTGCATACAAGTGTTGTGAAAAACCAATTGGACTGTGAATATCTACTTGTCTGTTTATCTGTCTATGAAGGGCTAGTTCTTAAATGGGTCTGTGATTCAAAAAAGAAACACTGGCATAGTGGATTGAAACTTTGGTTAAAACATACCTGGTTTCCAGGTAATTGCGATTTCAATTCCGAGATGAGGTAATATTATTTTATAATAATATAATTTGATTTTTCTGTCATACATTTATTATTATTATTATTATTAGGTCAAGCTAGCTCAGGCATTCATGAGTCTATCATGCCAACCATCACAGTTCTGCGTCATGGTCAGGTGGTCATTAGGTTGGCATTTGGCGTCATAATGTAGCTGGTCAATGTAGGTGGTTGCTGGGTGTCCAGACTAGTAGATCATTCACAAGTTCTTGTTTTGCTTGCCAGCAGTGTCCTGCATAAGATTGTAGAAATATCAGTGATAGGTCCATAGGGCTGTGATTTAGTTAGAGGTTGTCTCCAGTAGATGCCAAGTGTAGCTGTCAGCATCTGAGTGTAGGTTTCATCAAACTTAGACTCTAAGGTTTTAGTTAATGTCCAAAGCAATGGCACCATACATTAAAACAGACCCTATATTGGTGCAGAAGAATCTCTGTCTGAGGTTGAGTGGTAGATCAGATTTCCACATTACATCCATTTTATTCACAGCAGCTCACGTTTAGCTATGCAAATTTTAAAATCTATTCATCTAGATTTTACTTTATCACCAACACTCATAAGTTGATATCCTGTAAAAACTATGCAGATGAACTAGCTATTACTGCAGACACACTTATCAATGTCACAGACCTTCTACATCATGTAGAAAATGCTGCTAATGATGTAGGACTCTATGCCAATGCCTCTAAAACTGAATACATAAGCTTCAACTAGCAAGCCTCAATAAAACTGTCTCAGGAGAATCAATAAAACCTGTTAAATTTTTGTTGCAGTTTTTTGTGTATATCTATGTACTAGTGAGCTAGCCTAAATGAGCTGACTCATTTTATAGTTCACCAATAAAAGGGTTAACCAATCAGAAAGCTCAAAATATTCAATGCGACGTGTATAAAGGCAGCCATTTTTTTTTCTCCCAAATTGTCTGCACTGATATCGAAGACTTAAAGAATTACTTAACAACCACTACTTTCTCTGAATCTTTACTGCCGACCTCTGATATTGAACAGATTAAAGACTTCACTGGATTCCATATTCAGAGATTGCAGTAAACATGGTCAACAATCTTTACATGCCATACAATTAAGAAAAGCACAAAAAATGTTAGCTTACTCTGTATTAAGTACTGCTAATATTTCATCAGCATTTTCTGTGAGTTTAAACTGGTTGCTTCCAACAAGCCTCATGCCATAAAAATCCAGCATCATTTCAAAAGCCATTTTGACTTTTTTCTTCAAATCTTCTCTTTCACGGAATATCTATTAAGAATGAAGAAATCCTTGATTAAAGTTGGCAAACATAATTTTATATATATATATATATATATATATATATATATATATATAAAATATAAAAGAGTCCACATATGCGTCATATAGTTTATAAAATAGAGTAGATAAGTTGGTCAATAAAACAAAGTCAAATGAAAGGGTACTGATGAAATCATTATGAAAAACATTTATTAAAATTAACCAGGTGACAAAAATGAAACACGGAGATTGAGGTTCCAAGTTCAGAATTTTCAAATGTGTCTGTGTTCTTCATCAGCAGATGTGATAAGTAATCAGAGGGATGGTGGAGACTGTCCAACATTAGTTTTTGAGGTGGATATAGTCCACTTGTAGGTGGAATTATTAGAAAAAATCCGTTTCCTGTCTGATTTCTTGCTGTGTGAAACTTTGTGTGATTTAAAAATTGTGATTGGTGGTGGGTGGTAGGGGAGTGAGATTTTTTAACAGAGGAAAAAGGGTTATTGAATCAGCGGTGGGGATGATATTAGTATTGAAAGATTTTGTGAGTTACGAACAGTGTGGGAACATAGTGGGATTGTCAATAAAAGAGAAAAAGGAAAAAGAGAGAGAGAGAGAGAGGAAAGAAAAAGCACAAAAAAGGGGATAAAGAATTTTTTTAGGAAAATCATTGTTAGACAACGGGGGGGATGTGGAAAAATAAACTGAAATAAAAATTAAAAAATAATGCCAAAATATATTTTTTTAATTTTTATTTCAGTCTATTTTTTCTGCACCCCCACCCATTATCTAACAATGATTTTCCTAAATAAAATTTTGAATGATGAAAAGTTGATGCATTTCATCCTCTGAAGGACTTTATCAAGGTAAATGTAAGGATTTTATTTTGCAACAAGTAGTTATAAATAAAAGTAAAAATGTTAGTTTTTCAAAATTTAAAAATTTCAGACATGCTCATAAATATTCATCAGGTTAACTGAAAAGTCTAGCTAAATTATGGCGGATGCTAATTTAATGCCTAATAAATGAAAGTGAGTCAATGATGATGTTTTTTAATTTAATTTTTTATAATGCAATTAATACTTAAATTATTTTATTTTAGTATGGGATAAATTTAGATATTATATATTTTAAGTAACAGGTGGTTATGAATTTAACTAATTTCTATGAGCGTCTCTTAAATTTAAAAATTTTGAAAAACTAGTATCCATATTTAAGTAGATGCTTTGTTTATTTATTAAACAGCATATTAATTTATTTTTGTCTACTGGCTTAAATATTCAAAAAATCTTGTTAAAGAAAAATGTGTTCTCTGGCAGGATTTGAATCTCTGTCTCTCTGGGCAGACAGAAACTGTTGTTAGATCCGGTGTTCCTTAACTAACTCAGCCACAGAGCAAATTTTGAACAGTGCCTTTAAACAAAATCCTTGTATTAAATTCCCCAAAATTTTCATATCTGCTCAATTTTGAATCCAAATGTAAACAAAATAATTTTTTAAAGTAAGGGATTTTTATTTTTTATTTTATCAATCTGACACATTTTTATCATTTTAAATGTTACTTTTTAATGGATAGCTCTTGAAGTGAAGAATTTGGAGTTAACAGTTAAACATATCAGTAACAGCATTATGATTTGGGGTTGCTTTGCTGCAGCTGGGACAGGCAAAATACTTACACATTGATGGCACAATTGATTTGGCAAGATACTAAGCAATTTTGAATGAATATGCCTTGCCCTTTATTTGAAAGTCAGGCTTAGGTCAGGGTCTTCTAACAGTACAATGATCTGAAGCATCAAAGAAAACCAACAAAAGAATGGGTTTGAAAAAGAAATTTCAAATCTTGGAATGCCTAGGTCAGAATACTGGTTTTTGTGAGAACAACAATGGCTCTTGAAGCCTGCAAGTGACTTGCAATGCTTATTGCAGATGTGGCAAACTAAGTTGTTTTTGTACAGGACCTGGCCTGTTTTATAAAGTCTGTTTAGCTTTCTTGCTGCTTTTCATGCGATGGCTGAACCTGGAATGGTTTCTATGACTTACCCTGTATTTCATGGGTAATACTAATCATAATTTGTGAAAAGTCTATCAATATGATTCTTCTTGTGATGAACAAGCCCTGCATTGGAGACATACTCTGCCATATTCATCACATGTAAATTGATGGATTACTGGATCAATGGTTTCCTCTCAGGCCTACTAATGCAGGAAAAGGTGTATCCATCATCAGCCTCCTGTAGCTGACCAAAATCAGCTAGTCTGGTTTCTGAGAGAGCAACTATTCCAATATTTTTTTATGATACAGGTAATCAAAGCAGTCCTACATTCAAGGGTTTTCTTACTATTCTGGAGAGTTCTCAGTTTCCAAGACTCAATGAAAATATCCTTAATGTTTGACTTCTTTATTGTTCAGATGCAGTTTTGGTTACCCAGTCATTTGCATCTAAGGACAGGGAGAAAAGCAAGTAAGCAATTTTTCTCCCTCAGAGGAAAACAGTGCCATCTTAAAAAGGGCTGCTTTGTTATGAAAGGAGGACAAGAGTTACACAGTTACTCACAGATGTACAAAACGGCCATCTACCCTTCACCATCAATGTGAAATTTCAAGCTAGGAATCTCCAGTGACATCCTTCACCTGTTTCTGTCACTATAACTTCAATGCCACAGGATTTCAAGAGTACAAAACATATTGGTGGTGTGCACTGAACAACATGCATCTGATTTGTTTATAGGGGTCACTGCTTGTGCAGCACAATGCACATTCACTGCATCAAAGCAGCATAGCCTGTACTGGTGCACATTTTACTACATGTCAGGTGCTGAAGTGATTGCAGACTTTAAATCAGTATTTTCCTATTCCTAGGGAGATATCCTCTCTCCCAGTTGTTTAACTGTGTGCCCAGATACCAATTCAAGTATTTCTGCACACATATATTTTACACTGGATGTTGGAGTAAACTGTTTGTCATCAAATGGACCACATATTGTTATTACTATTATCATAATTTCTCTTTAAATGATAAATAATAGTATTCAATCAATAAGTAAGAAAAATATAAAAGAAAAAAAATCATCAGTAACTGTTTGATAAATGATAGGGAAAGAAATCAACAATACTGAACCAGACAATACTGAATAATAGCTACTATATTAGAATTTCCAAACCTTTGCTTCTTCAGGAGAGAGGGGATAAGAATGTTCATTCTTCCCTCTTTCAGTATTTGGAAACAACCTGTAATAGAATGTTAGTAAAAATGATTATACAAAAATGGCAAGTATTAAAAGAAGTTTTTAGCAAAATATTTGTTGAATTTTACATTATTTTTGTGAAATTTGTGCCAATATTATCAGCAAGGCCTATGAGAAGTTGGGTCCAGTTAGTACTTTGTTCCAGGGCCCAAGAACTAAGAAGAGCCCCACAGTAACTATGCAACACCCATACTCTCTTGAGAACAAACACTTTCTACTACCCTCAGCCTGACATACACTTACATTCATATACTCAAACATCACTATACTTATAACACCACACTTACTTATTTTTATTAGTATTTATTATTAATTTTGTAAGCCTAGTTGTATAAACATATGTTAATATCAAAAGTGTCTACCTACAGCATGGAGGGGGGATGCATAAATTAGCATAATGATTTCACTAGCACACACCAGAATGTTTGTGTCATCATCTGCCTGCATGTATTATTATTTTGAGAAAAATCTTTTCTTGCTTGCTCGTAGCCTCAAATGGGTCTTGTACTACCTTGCAAAATTTATCTTGGAGACCCTGATTATTAGTATGACTGCTATCACAAAACAGTAGGACATCATGGGTAGATAGGTTTTCTGTAGATGGTGAAATCCAGGGATATTAGGGAAGCATATCTATGTAATAAATTTGAATGTCAGTGTGTCACATTTTTCAACTTTACTCCTAGAGGCAGTTGCCCAACATATGATAGCATTTTGGAAACAGTCTGATTCCATGAGCAAGTTAAAAACATTCCAGGCCAGATCTGGACCCACAATCCTGAAATTTTAGTGTCCCAAGTTTTCATTACTGCGATTATTTTCAGATTCTGCCATCTTGGCTTCTATTGATAAAAACAATTAAAGGATACAATTCTCTAACTTTCAGTAGCTCATGTTCAAATAAAAAAAATTACTGTTCTCAAATTACAGTATTTCAAAATAAAATTGTCCATGTTTTCACCTTTACTCCTAGAGGCTGTAGCCCAACATATCATACCATTTTGGATTCCGTGAGCAAATTAAAAACATTCCAAGCCAGATCTGAACCTGCAATCCTGAAATTCTGGATTCCCAAGTTTTTATTACTGCGTTTATTTTTGGCGATATTTTACGTAATTTTTTGCGACAATTTTTTTGTACAATAACGATTTTTTATAACTTGGAAATAAATTTGGGAATAATCAAAATTAATTACAAAATCCAGTTAAAGTCACCCATGAATAAAATAATTGTTTGTATGGAAAGTAAAGACTTATGTGCATCAAGTTGTCTTTAAATTAAGTGGCAGTAGAAGAATTTGTCTATATTTCTAAAATGAGGTATTATGTACATTTACATTATTTGGACTATTGTCCCCATCTTTGTTGCCATATTTATTACAACGTCTTAGTCAAGGACACATGGCACAGTGGATAAAGGCATTAATTAGATCCAGTGACAGGACCCAAAGACTGTGAGTTCAATACCCGTTTAAGGCAGTGGAGAACTTTCAGAGCGAAATTAACAGAAGATAAGTGATAACTGACATCCATTAAACATGGCACGTGGAACTAGAACAGTCTACCCCAGTGAGCTAAATAAAGAGTTCAGTTCAACATTCCAACCACCTGACGAAGGCTGGAGCGTACAATGACCAAAACGTTGTAATAAATATGGCGACAAAGATGAGGATAATAGTCCGAATAATGTAAGTAATGTAAGTTTTCTTGTACTTCTTTCCCCAGTTACCAATTCCTCTGAACTATCACCAATCATGATGAATGGATGTTCCCTCAGAGAGGCCACATATCAAAACTCAATCCAGACATCAAGTGGAGCTCATGCAAATAATCCATCACTAAAGATGCAAGAAAATAGACCTTTTAATGTTTTTTATGTGAGACTGAGTTTAAAGCTTACTATGGTATCTTATATGGTGAGATCACCACAGATCAACTCTTTTTAGATCAGAAGTTCCTGAAGGAGATTAAGTTTGTTTCAAGCTTCTGTTATTTTCTAGTGTAAGTCACATGCTGTAAAAGTATTATGATAAAGATCTTATAGTGACCCATGTCTTGCTCACTGGATGTAACACTGAATAGCATTTCTGAGGAGGCAATCTCAAATATGGAGTAAGTAAAGCTTTCTTCTAAGCTAAAGAGTGAGAGTGGTACAAATGACCACACAATTTTATGTTACTTGACAGATTTGGGGTTAGGCCTCAGACACTGTAGCATGACTCTGATCCAGGGTACTCCTACATCACACTTGGAGCAGTTCTTAAGCATTGTGGTACTTATACAGTCTTACTTTTATTGGGTTTTGAAAACTGATTATATGGCATGGAGGAAAGAGGAAGCAGGAGAAATTGGAGGTGGGGAATAATTTTTTTTATTACATTAAGGTTTACCCTGTACAAGGCCCAAGAGCCACTTGAAGTAAAAGGATACAGAGTAAGTGGCACAGTTTAAATGGATATGTGGGGGAAGATAACATAACTCTTGAACAGGTTCAGATTGTAGTGATTGGGAAAGCATCCTCTTGGGAGTTGGTTCTGCAAAGCAGCAGTTTATGGGAAGAAACTACGTGAGTGGATGAGAGTGGTTCACTACAACATACATGCATGGCAGGCCTTAACTGCAAAGATTTGTAGAAGTTAGGAATGTAGTTCATCTGAACACTTTCCATGGAAATAGCAATAGAGTAGCAAGAGGCTTTCAGTGTTTCATTTGTAGGTTGTAAGGTGGAAAATAATTCATCATCCACAAGGATATGGTGTTGCTTTTGGACTCTATTGAAACTGGAAATTGAGGACTTAACAGCTTTTGCCCAGATATAGTAGCTGTACTCCATTTTCAGCCAGATCTGGCTCTTGTAAATGTAGAGGATAGCATGAGGAGTCAGGTACTTACTGGAGTTTTAAAGGGAACCAACCATTTTTTAATCATCTCTAGTTTTGATCGTATGTACAAGTATCACTTGAGATCTGAGTTGTGCTTAAGCTGCTATAGCTACTCAAGGACCTCCCTGAGAGAACACTCATTCATCATAATAGGCAAAAATTTCTCAGTTTATATGATGAAGGAATGTTACTAGTTTTTATTCTCATGGCACTGAATTTGAACAGCCAGTTTTTCCTTTCACTGAGCTGTTAGAGTTATGTCAGAGGTAAGATTATCTGCCTGCCTCAGGTCATCAAGATTTTTATAAGTGCATTCATACTCCATTATGATGTAAACTTATCCTCCTAACTGCCAATGGGTCACTGTGAAAGGGAAAAAATAAGAGCAACTAAAAACTGCGAAAATGGGGAATTCATTAGGTGAAAGGTGGGAGTGGTTTGCATTATGAAAGAACGGTTGGAGGAATAAAGGCTTATAAGAAAAGAAGCTTTGGGCAACTCGAGGCGGTGTAGTGGTTAGCAAGCTTGTCTCACTAAAACAGTTACAACTGAATAGTGAGTTCAATCCTCACTGGGTGTTCCACACTTTCAGCCGTGTGCCACATTTAAGCTACACTTAGAAAATCATTTGGGGCACTTCAACGCGATGTAATGGTTAGCAAGCATGGCTCGCTAGAACCATTACAACTGAGTAGTGAGTTCAATCCTCACTAGGTGCCCCATGTTTTCAGCCTTGTGCCACATCTAAGCTGTGCTTAGAAAATCATTTAGGTCACGTCAAGGTGATGTAATGGTTAGCAAGCTTAACTCGCTAGATCAATTACGACTGAATAGTGAATTCGATCCTCAATGTGCCCTCTACTTTCAACCTTGTGCCACATCTAAGCTGGGTTTGGAAACTCACTAAGCACCTTGACATGGTGTAATGGTTAGCAAGCCTGACTCGCTAGAGTAATTACAATGAAGTAGTGAGTTCAATCCTCACTGGGTGTTCCATACTTTCGGCCTTGTGCCATCATGTGGGTGAAGACAAGGGAGAGAGGAGTCGAGGCCAGGAGGAAGCAAAGCAATAGATGATTGCAAGTGGCATTGTGTATTATTTTGTTGTGATCAAGGTGATGGCTGGAACCTTACAACTCTGGAGAAAAAAAAATCAGTGTGAAAGGTATATGTTCATTTTATTTCATTTTTTCATCAGTCATTCCATTCTTTTCTTTTTTATCCTTTTTCTTCTGCTAAAAAGGTCAGTACTTTAGAAATTGCAGGAACACACAGGTGATTGTTGATAAATTCTTTTTTTTTTCTATCTTTTTCTTGTTCAAATCACAGATTTCATAGATAAAATTATGACTAATATTTCCAATAAAGAAACTTTCCCATACAAGATCTCCTTCCTAAAAACATGACATACTTTAGATTTAAATTAAACAAAAATTAAAGAACTATCATAGACATAAATAAAATAGTAAGGAGTTAAAGATTTTACATACCACTGAATGTAAAAATGGTTATTTTCCAATAAGTCAAAGTTTCCACACCATTTATTCAATATATCATCGATGAATACATCTTCAAAAATAAAAGAGAGATAATCAAATTGAAGTTTAACTTAGGAATAAACACTTCTTATTTTATTAATGATGTATTTTAAGAATAAGATGTATCAATAAATTATAATGCATGGTTAAAAAACATGGGAAATGACAAAATCATTTGAATTCAATGGAAACAGAAATTCTAAGAATAACTCTAAGAGATAAAATGAAAATGCAAAGATAAATCAGAGAATTGATTAAACTACAAAAAAATGAAGGTAAGTGTGGTATATAGCAAGAAGAAAATATAACAGATGGAGCAAAAGGTTGCTTGCCCAACAGACAGCAAATGTAGGAGAAAATGAAGAGATACACAGATAAAATAAAGAGGCACACTGGTAATTTGTGGCAAAGAACAAGGCTCTTACAATTTATCACCATTCTTGGTAGATTTTCTGTTGTCACAATGTTAGTCAGGGACAAAGATGGAGAGAAAAAAAAAAGAAAAAGAACACAGATGAATTTGGCTATATTGAAAAAATATTTTTTCAAAAAATATTTTATTAAAAAAAAAATTCTTTCAAAAATTTTTAAACTACCAGCATCCCTCATTTTATGTGCATGTGTAGATGTGAAAACATCAACAAAGCCCAGTCTGATGAAATCCTAACAGATGAAATGTGCCACAAACCTTTTTGCCAATTTATCATACTATTTTTATAAATACTGTTTGTTGATATATAAAATTATATATTGTTATATATCTATAAATCCAAAGTAAGTAATAGAAGTTTTATTTATTAATGTGATAGATTTTATCACTTTAAACATTATTTTGTGGATACCCAAATTTGAGTATATGCTCCATTTATTTATTAAACAGTATATTTATTTATTTTTGTCTACCAGCCTGAATAGTCAAAAAATCTTATTAAAGAAAAATATGCACTCGATCAGTAATGACCTACATGGCTGATTTAGATTTAAAGCATGTAGGATCTTATGATGGTTTCTCCTGTAAAGTAGGATGCATGTTCAAATCCTGACAGAAAACACATCTTTTCCTTTAATAAGATTTCTTGAATATTCAGGTCAGGAGACAAAAATAAATATACTGTTTCATAAATAAATATTGTATATATGGAGTTGATTGTCACTTCTTTGCAGAAGCCCATTTCTTGGTAGCTTTTTTGTGTATTTCATTTTGAAATGGTGTGTGTATATATATAATAAATTTGCTTATTTAAAAATATGGTTCCATCGCTACACAAGAATTATCGTGTTTCAAAAACAGAAGCTAAAAACTTCAAATTCAATTATAGAATTAAATTAAAGTCCCTAGTTCTGTTTCTGTTTCATTTTCAAGTGAATTTTGGAATAACTTACTTTGAAATTTACTGTGTTTTATAAGCACATACATTCATAATATTAGTTTCTATGGATATGGGGAAATCCAGTCATTTTAACAAGGGGCGGTAAGGTATTCTTTTTTACTGACAACTATTGTATCAACATATTAGTTACTTTTGAAAAGAGGTTAAGTCAAGGTAGGGTAAGGGTGCCTTTTCAAACGAATGATGACATCCATTCAAAGCATGTCAGCTGGTCTTTTTTTCAACAATAAAAAGTTTTTCAGCACTTTTGTTTCATCGCCAAATTTGTAATTGTATACATAAAGATTTTTTCTAAAAGGGTTGTTTGCATATGAATATGTCGTATTGAACTACAATTTTAAAATATTATTCTTAATTTTAATTACTAATGGGCTATGCATCTTTTAAAACAACTAAATATAATAGAATTACCCAAATTATTTTAAAATTATTAGTAAATATCAAATATTGTCGTTGAAAAAGACCAGACAACATGCGTTGAATGGATGTCATCATTTTGACTGACTCTTATACAATTGAAAAAGAAAGAATCTATGTTGAGGAAAAGATTTGGAATCCTGAGACATCCGTTTTCATTTTGGTATGCTTTTAGTGCTTCTACTATCAAAATCTGTTGTAATTAAAGAAGATCAGACATTACATTTTGTCTGACATTTGCACAATGATTAAGAAAGAGGGAGAATATGGTGAGTGCTAGATTCTAAAACCCGAATCTTTCGTGCTCATTTGGGAATAATTTCTTTGCTACATTTATATCTATTATAATAAAAAAAACAAAAAAAACAGGCATGACTTTTTGACTAACTTTCATACTTCAAATAAAAAAATAAGGAACTTACCATTTGGTGCTGCTTCCATTTTATTTTCATAAAAAGCGACATTGGGATAGGAAGTTTTCGGATAAGCTGAAATCAAAAAATTCATAACAAAATCAATTAAAAAGAATTTTAGTTTGATATTATGTCATTTTAATATGTACTCTAACCCATTACAATATACTAAGTTACATAAAAAGATGAAGCCTGGCAGTGATGCTGATAGGCTTTTGATGTAGTGAGTCCCTGGGGCCCACATGTGGTGATTTGGGTGTGTCCCTAGGAAGTTCAATGGATCCCAACTAAAGTTTCTTCATAAATGTTTGTGTTAATCTGAAGGGATAAAGACTAAGTTTTTTTTTGGTAGGGTAGGGGTGCCTTTTCAAACGAATAATGACATCCATTCAATGCATGTCATCTGGTCTTTTTCAACAACAAAAAGTTTTTCAGAACTTTTGTTTCATCGTTAAATTTGTACTTGTATACATAAAGAATTTTTCTAAAAGGGTTTTTTTGTATATGAATATGTTGTATTGAACTACAATTTTAAAATATTATTCTTAATTTTAATTACTAACAGACTATGCATCTTTTAAAACAAATAAATGTAATAGAATTACCTAAATTATTTTAAAATTATTATTAAATATCAAATATTGTTGTTGAAAAATACCAGGGATAAAGACTAATCTTTTTGGGGTGCTGGTGCCATCATGTCCCCACAAAAAAAAATTTAATCATGCTGAATCACTTAAACTGACAGAACAACATTTTTTTAAAATTGAATTGATAAATTCAAAACAAAAATCATTATCTGCCATATCCTCATAATCTTGATTTCCTACTTGCATTCATATCATGACCCTCTACCTAGGGTAGCTCTTGGGCTTTGTATCAGGTGAATTAAAGTAAAAAAATTTTTTAAATGTAAATCTACGACAGATCCTTCTTTCTCAGTCTTTAACCAACTGGATGCATCATTCCACATTTTATTTCAATTTCAGTCAGAACTAGTGTGCACAAAAAATGTGACCTCTTCTACCACCCATGTGCCCATCTGTATATCATGACATGCTGCTCACAACTGTCTAGCAGTGGGCTGGAACTCTATACAGTCTATACTACACCAATTGTTATGCACTGAAACTACATCCAATTCTAACTGTGAGTGTTCACTGTTCATATAAGCCTATGAGCTAAACATTTTAACATTCTAACTTCCAGTCAAATGGCATTTATTCCTTATTACCATTCATTTTCCCTAAAGTTTTAAATGGATTATATACAATAGGTGAACAATTCAACTAGAAAAATTGAAAATAAATACATATCTAAATACATATTAGAGACATGCCATAATGAATCATTCCATCTTAAATAAATCAACATTGATTTGCAGCAATCTTTAACATCAAATTGAGATTTTTCATGTTGAATTACTTTAACACATTATGGAGAAAAACAGTGAATTTTAAATAGTGTTTTTTTTTTCGAAACTTAGCATGAGCAAAACAAATTCACAGATTTGGACAAAAAAAAATGAAAAAACCCAGAATGGCACAAAAAAAAAAAAAACGCACAAATTTTTTATCCTTTATTAGTTTGTTGTGCTTAGTTTAATTTTTAATGTATATAAATATAGATAGAAAAAAAGCAAATGTTAATAAGATAGCAAGGGTCACAAAGCACTGCCCGGGTTCCCAAATTAAGCTTAGCATGGTCAGGGTGTTCTGGGGGTAGTACACACCAGCTCTGATTATATTCTTAACCTGTTCAAGTTTAGGGTTATCTTCCCCATATATCACCATAAACTGTCTTTTATCTCTTGCTCTGTAACCCTCTACCTCGAGTGGCTCTTGGGCCTTGTACATGGTGAACATTATTGTTAAAAAATATTTAAAATAAAAATATTTTTGAGATAAAAGAAAAACGGTGATCTTTTAGTTCCATTCAAGCCTAGGCCCTTTTTTGAACTAATGTTCACCCAATGCATGACCTAAGAGTCACACAAGGTAGAAGGTTAATGAATGAGGTGTGGCATGAACATAAAGTAGGAAGTGATGATTATGAGGATATGGGGGGGTGTAAGTAATCATTGAAGTGATTTACATTGGAGTGTTCAGGGGGGAAGCATCCATGTGGAAGTCTGTTCTACAAAGCAGTGTTTCTTCGGAAGAAGCTTACTGAGTGAAACATCATTTTTACTTATGGAATGCATAGAGAATGAGAGTGATTCAACATTGTGGCTGTAGCTAGGAAGATCTTAGTTGTAAAGGTCTGACTTGCTGGCATTAAAGAATAGAGCTTGTTTGAATACTTGTCATGGAAGTAGCTGTAAGCTTGCAATGTTGCATCTGTAGAAGAGCTGTAGGATGGAGAATAAGTCATCTTGCAAAGACTACATCGGAAAATTTCAGAAAGGAAAAGGTGTGTAAATGAGTAAGACAACCAACTGCTACTAATCATGAGAATTTTACATCTTACAGCTGCAGAAATAAAAAAAAAAAAAGAAATAGCCTTGTGTAGTAGCCAGTCTAGAAGGAAAACACTGGATTTAAAACAATGAAGAAAGCAAGAATAGGTCTAATCAATTGCATTCAATATTGCAGAAATACTTTTGGGAAAGGTATGAATCCATTTATTCACTTAAAAAATAACAGGGTAGACTGGGCTCCTTTAGCCTTGACTAAAAGAACTCTGGATTCAAAACTATGGAAAAGGCAACAAGAATGTATAATCTGTTGCATTCCCTTTTACACAAATACCTTTGGGAAAGCATAAATTATTTTTTTCTCACCTATGGCATCTAAAATTGGGAGAGGTTTGAATCCATCTCTTCATTTCCTGGCTATGGGTTAAATAGCAGGATAGACTGAGTATTCTAGCCTTGAGTGACAGCCAATCTAGGAGAAGGATAACTCTGAATTAAATACTATAGTGAAGGCAATTGGAAATCTCTCCACTCTTTTTCACAAGGAGTCATGACAATCCACATAGATTTGTGAAGAGCCATGATCAGTTATGCCCTAAAAGGATATAGTACTAAAAAAACCCACTTCTGACACAAAAAAATTTAGTGTCAGAATCTTAGTCACTTGGATCAATATAGAGGTGAATATTAAAGTCAAAAGTTCATGATTTTTAGATTTTGCATATATTAAATCAATTGTTTTTATTGATTGATTCATTTTTCTACAGCTTATCAACACTTTACAGGTTATTTAAGGCCATAAAATATATATATATAAAATTTGGAGGTGGAGGGTGGAGATAATAATGATTTAGTGATACAAGTTTTACTAATTACTCTATAGCTAAGGGGAGAAAAGGTGAATTCTCAAGTGTATTTGAGCATAAGTAAATAAAATGAACTTAACTGGAATTGGAACTCAGCTCTCCTATTAACAATTCTGAGGCATTATCTACCTGTACATCCAAACTTACAGCACCTAGTATTTCCAAGTGATCACCCATCTAGATACTAACCAGGCTCAACATTGCTTAACTTCGCTGATCATATGGGAACTGATAACATCAAATCAAACTCTTGTCATAACAAAGATAAGAGATACTGAACTTTTATATAATAACACTTAAAATCAGAAATTTAGATAAATATGATTTATTGCTCTTACCTGAAGCCATTTCTTGCCTTGGTTTGAAGAATGAGCAAAACAAAAATAATCACTTGGCTAGATCAGGTTAGCTCAACAAATTTGATGGGATTTTAAATTAAATCTGTAAACAAATAGAAAAATTTATGTAAATTAGTATCTTGAAAATGAGACTTGAATATCACAACAATTGATCCATTTCATTCTTTAGTTTGAAGAAACAAGACTTGGATATTTTAGCAAGTAAGCCATTTCTTTCTTTGATTTGAAGAATGTGAAAAAAAAAAGATAAGAATCACTTAGCAGATTTTGGGTTAGAATAAAGATTTTAAATTATATCTGCAAACAAACAGAACAATATATTAGTAACTTAGAAACAAGACATTTTTTTATCATTTCACTCCAAGCAAGGTGATAAAGCCATGAAGACACAAGGGTATATTGAGTGTGAAAAACATTGAGTAGAAAGGACAATAAAAGAACAAAATTCAAAATGGCAGAATTAACACAGTATTTAAATTTTTGAAGATCATAGTTGACATGAATGCAAGAAACCACAGGTGAGTTTCACTGTCAAGAAGTATGAGAAAAGAAACTATTAGAATAAAACTTAGTTACATTTAACAATTTCAACAATTTTTCAATGATGCCAATCTAGTACTATGCTTAGATTCATGAAGTTGAGGTAACAAAGGAAAGCTCATTAGAACACTCATCATGAAAATAGAGAAAATGCACAGAGAAGCTACATTAGGATAATGGGAAAGTAAGTGAAGCTGAGATAACAGGCTAGGACTGGTAATATTGCAGATTCTTCTTTAGATTATGTCAAGAATCTTGAGATACAATAGCTGAATCATCATACCAGATGTGGCAACAAGATCCAATGAATGATAGATATATAAAGGTGCAAGATAGATTCTGTCAAGAAAAACTGTCTATCATGACACAGTGAACCAATTTTCATAGCAGAAGACAGCAATTGACTTAATACTGTAAGGATACGGAAGAGTATTATCTCCCTTTGATGGAGATAAGTCATAGTGGTCATGTGACAGACTGCTTAGTGACATCACTCCATACACTGATGAAAGCAGCTGTAAAATTCAGTTTATTTACAGCAGTGAATGGGTGCTTTCTTTGGCCCAGCCTCCACATGCATTGGGCAGAGGCTACATCTGCTTCCCCAGCAGTTTACAAGTCCATGGTGCTGTTTCCCTTTGTGAATATATCTTTCCTAGATATAGAATGAAGCTCCAGTTCGCAGTTCTCAATTTTGGAAAACCCAAAACTCACTGTTTCCCATTTATGTAATATGTTTTTGCTTGGGACATAGATGAATCTAGCCCATTTGAATCTAAACTCCAGACACAGGAGTATCTCTCTATTGTATGTAATACCCTTCCTTCTTATAAAACCCTCTCTTTTTGCTTCTCCTTACACTTTGCTGTGTAAATATATGTGATATATTATTTTCCATCTAGGACATGTTTATATGAATAGATGATATATAGTTTTTGTGTATGTCTTAGTAGTATAAAAGTCTCTCTGAAAACAAAATGTTTGTCATTCTTTTTCCTTTCAATCATTCTGTTCCATCCATGAACTACGATTTTATTAGATCACAGATATAATAATGTCCATAATGGGGGAAATACAAATGGGAGAATAAATCTTTTTCCATAGCTCTCTTCCATTACAATATAATCATTCAAACTTATATCAGTAGAAAACATTATACTGTGAAGGTGCAATGTGTTACTTATTTGAATGTTGTCATCAACCATGTTGATGGAAAGTAAAAAGGTTTTCTAAGATAATTGAAAAAGAGTAATTTAGTTAAAATTAACAAGCCATTTCTTGTCCCATTTAACAATAGATTGAAAGTTATTTTTAATATCAGCTACCAATTTGACTTTAGCAAACCTATCTTGAATATTTTTTAAATTAAAGACAATTAAATATGAGTCTTACAATTATTTTCACCCCTCTAGAGCACAGGGGATTAATGATTTTTAGATAATATGAGGAAAAACTACTATTAAAGAGAGAGGACAATAAAATAAGAATTAAGAAGATAATGATTGACATTGCATTTAAATTTTTGAAGATCAAAGTTAACTGGGAAACAAGAAGCTGGAAGAGAACTTCACAAGTGAGAAATGCAATAAAAGAAACTGTTAGCATAGAATTTACTGTTACATCTAACCACTTCAACTGTAAATTGATGAGACCTTGCTGCCAATCTAGTACTGTGCTTAAATTCATCAGAACAATTACCATCAAAGTATTGACAGAAAAGGCACAGGGAAGCTACATTGTAGTAGCAGGAAAGAGACTGAAGCTGAGATGCCAGGTTAGGATCACTAACATTGCAGATGATTCTATGGATTTTATCAAGAATTTCTAAATATATAACAGTAGCACCAGACCAGATGTGGTAGCAATATTCAAATCGGGAATGAATGATAGACTTATAAATATATGACAAATTCTGGCAAGAAAAATTTCAATAAAGAATTACTGTATTAAGATTATTTCTGTCTATATTTCTGAGATGAGGTATTATGTACTCTATTTACATTATTTGGACTATTGTCCTCATCTTTGTCGGCATATTTATTACAACGTTTCGGCTGTTGTATGTTCTGGCCTTCTTCAGGTGATTGGAATGTCGAAACTGAACCCTTAGGTTAAAGGCATTGGTTAGATCCAGTGACAGGACCCAAAGACTGTGAGTTCAATACCCAGTTAAGGCAGTGGAGAACTGTCAGAGGGAAATTAACAGGAGATAAGTGATAACTGATATCCATTAAACATGACACGTGGAACTATAATACACCAGTGAGCAAAATAAAGTGTTCACTTTGACATTCCAACCACCTGAAGAAGACCAGAGTATACAACGGCTGAAACGTTGTAATAAATATAGCGACAAAGATGAGGACAATAGTCTGAATAATGTAAATAGTGTAAGATTATTTCATTTCTTTAGAATTTTTTTTTCTCTTGTTCTGTTTCCACTTTTTTTCTTAGTAGATTACTACTCTTCAAGAAAAATCCATTTGACAAATGATATGTGTGGGCAATGTAAGAATTTAATATTGTTCATTGATTAATTCTGACATCCGTAAAACACCTCAGTTGGAAAAAAAACTATATAAAAAGTTAAATAGGTAGATCTTGTTGGTCTTATTTGATAAAACTTGTTTGAATGAATTCTTGATGCAGGAATACACTTTATATATAGGTATCCGCAAAGATTTACTAAAAAATGAGCATACATGAAAAAAAAAGCCCAAAATTTAATCAAAACAAAGTTTTATCATAAAACTCTTTATTATTAAGAAAGGTCAATTGTCTTTTTGGTCTTTCCTCTTAATTATATATCTTCATATTTGAAATTTTATTTTTTAATCCTTTTTAGAACCTTTGAAATTTTGGTTAAAAATCTTGTTTTTCTGGTGACAATGTGAGATCATAAATTTGGAGTGTCTTTTTGCTGTGAAAAACACACTGATTTTTCAAATTCTTGCAAAAATCAGAAATTATTCATGAAACTTGACTTGGACTAATTCGGAAATAAATTAAATTATATTTAAATCTTTTATTTTTTTAGGAAATCTTGGTAAATTGTGTTTTTCTTTTTTTACATCTGTTACCCCCTGTAGTAAAAACAGAACCAGTGAATAAACTTAAAAGCTTTATTGCACTTTACTCTGACTACTCGTCTACTAACGGAAATAACAGTGTGCTTTTAAACCTCCAAAATCTTAATGGGAGGTAACTGATTATTTATCAGTACACCCCTGACTCATTTAATTATATATTACAAGAAATTGTATTTTGTGGGGCTTAATGTTTATATTAGTTATAAGGAGAAGTCCTCAGAGAATTTAAATCATAATTTTTTTTTGTCAAACAGGGACACCCAGTTACAAAAATCTGCTCTGAATTGTAAAATAAAAAATGTTATAAAACTATGACATTATTTAATTAGAAATGTTTTTAATTGTGTTTATGAGTAAAATTGTTTATGAAAAAAGATTTTCTATGAATATTAAACTTTTATTAGAATTTTCATTATTTTTTAATTTAAATTTTAATTAGAATAATTTACAACCTTTTAAATCTTTTAAAATTCTGTATTAATTTGTAGCGGCAAAGTGATATAGTTATTAAAAACTGAATTTACTAATCATAACTGGAAAAGCTCACAATTCAGCAATCCACTGTACTTTAAAAAAGAATTTTGAATCTTTTTTGTGTGTATAAACATGCCAAATTTTGAACATATTGATGTCCATACATAATATTATCAGAAAATAAAAGCAATAACTATACTAAATTTGAAATTTATTGGTAATTTTCTAATATTTCCTCAACAACCATTTTCGTAAGTAAAGCTAAAGCCAGTTCCTAAGATTCAATAAATTCAGATTAATAAACTATTTAAATTAGATAATTTTTCTCAAATAATGTTTCAGAAAAGTATGTTTTGTTTTTGAAAGATATTTTAATAAAGAGAATTATGTTGTGCTGACAGTTTTGTCAATATGGTCAATTTTACAGTACTGATAATCAGAAGAAAAAGAAAATAATTCAAATCAATTTTTGCAGTATAAGCACTAAAAGTCCCCGGTATTGAGAATGTACCATTCTGGTATGAAATTGTCTGGTTATTTTAAAAATGACGTTCATTGTGCTCAATTTATTGGCAATGTAAGTTCAATCTCTTTCGCGTTGTCCGGTTGCCATTTACTGGTGTTGTTTAATGGCCTTTTTACACTTTTTCGTATCTTACAGATCTTGATTACTGCGCGTTTTTCGCGGATGTCATTTTAAAATGCACTTATTTTTTAAAATGAAGTTTTAAATGAATTATTTCTTTATTGTCCGTAATAAATATGCTTTAGCTAATGAAACAGAATCTCTAGAAGCTATTTTGTAAATAATCATGCTTTTTACGACTCCAAAATTTAATAAAAGAAAATATATTTGAAGCTTAAATTTGTTCTTTTTGTAAATAAT